CAGCGGTGAGGATCAGAGCAGGCTCAAGAAGAGATGAGGAGGAGGTAGGGAAAATGCTTAAGGAAGCTGCAAGAGTGACCTGATCTTGGGCAAGAAAAATATTTTGCAAAGGAAACACTGTCTACCTGTTGGGTTTGCTGAAAGAGATTTTAGGCAGAAACTGTGTCTTCACATGGAGAAGGTCTGTGATGACAGAGGCTGCCTCAGCTCAGCAAGGAAAAGCACAATCACTTTCTGCAGGCAGAAGCTTATGCAGAAAAAATAATTCAGACTGAAAAAATGCTAGTGGTAAAGATAAATAACCTTTGGAAGAACTTACCCGGAGGTGCCACTTGTCTCCTTTACAGGAAACTTCACAGCCAGGCTTTTTGGAAAGGATGGGCTCCAACCCAAGCACAAAGCAGCCAGTATGAAGTGACACATGCTTTACCGGGGGCAGGTTGAAGGGCTACAACTCTCTGTTTTAAAAATTACTGGTTCTGCTTCCCTGGGGATGTGCCCTCCAATGGCCCAATATGACAGCTGTAGGTGCTCAGGGAATATCAGGAGAATGGACAGCAGGTGTTGGCCCCTGCCTACGAACCAACTTGAAATGCCATCTCCTGTTGTCACTGCTGGGGACAGGGTGCTGGGCTGGAAGGACCATTGCACTGAGCTAGTGAGACATTTCTTACGTTCTTGCTTTAAAGGTCTGGTGGACAACAGAGGAAAACTACAACTAACAGTGCAAACACCTCTCCTCAAAACCTGCTGTGAGACCCAGGAGAGAAGTTGAAGATTCATACATTAAGTTTACATCCAAAGGATGCAGAAAACTGTCTGATGTCACAGTCAGGCCAGGGGAAATGCATCCATAGCGTGCCCCATTCCTCCCACGACTATAAGAGGAGCTGGGCTAATGCACTCAGATATAGACACTCACGGCAGAGGTGCCTAGTTGGCATGGATCTTGTTCCTCCAGCCCCTGGCCAGGCAGAAAATGGACTTAAACCTTAACCAGATGGGGGCAGTGACCCATTTAAATAGACAGCTAGCATCCCTAGAACGCAAGGCTGAGAGTGTAAAAGGGGTCCTTCCCTGTCCCAAGGTACCCACATGGGCTGTCCCTGCCAGAGGGCAGCAGCAGGTTAGCTTGGTCTGGTTCCTTCCCCAGGGAAATATAAATAGTGGAGCCGGAGTACCTCTCAGGTCACCCAGCCCTGCCAGAAATCCTACCAGCAGTCAGAAACATGGCCACACAAGCAGGCTGGTGAGCTGCCTGAATGGATACTCATGATGCCCTGAATAGCATCCACCTCTCCTGTCCTTGGGATACAGACTGGTGCTGGGGTTGTCCAAGGCAGGTTAGGTTTCCCTTATGGCTGTTGGTAACGGAAAGCAGCCTGGTGCCATCTGCATGGGAATCATACCGTGGATGTCAGCAAGATATATAGGTAGGGATGAGAAGGAACTTGGCTTTGCTATGCCTGTGGTGTCTGGTGGGGCAGGAAGGGAGAGAGAACAGCACGTAGAAAGGTCACTCCCAAAAGTGCCCAGTCAGAAAGATAAAGAAATCTGACTGAAACCCAAGCCCTGCAATTTAACATTGGGTTTGGACTAAGTGATGCATCTCCTGGGCTGTTGTACTGCCAAGTTGCACAATGCCTGGACACCCATGATTTCCCACAAATGTTCCCATTTCCCCTTGGCAGCTCAAACCGAAAGCAAAAAGGGCAAACTGGAAAGCTAGCACCACTGTGGCCAGTTTTTATGTCTAGCTGATCCTATTATCGTGCTAACCTGACGCAGCCGCACCAGCAGCTGAGCTGTTAGAGCATTATAATCCCATGTGTCTTACGGTGATGCCACTAGAGCTGCTAATTTGGCAAAATCTGGATCCTAATAAAGATTTAGCCTATGGCCTTTTGTCATGTCACACTTGCCTGCTACAGAATTAACTATCTTGGAAATAATGGCTGCAGTCGCCAGAAATTTGCAACCAGTAGTTAAATGGGATTCATCAAGTGCCCCTTGCACATGGACTTGTTCCTCCTCTCTCTGGCTGCATCCACACAGCTAAATAACACCATCAAGGACCTGCGCATGGTTTGAGGCTGGGTAGGGCAGCAGACCTTGCATCTCCAAGACTGGATGAGACCACCACGAATACAAATTAATGGAGTTAATGCTGGGTGGGAGCCTTTGTGTGCAAAAGCAGAAGAAAGACCTGGATCCACACCCCCACACCAGAGCATGCTGCTGAGTTTTTGTTTGCAAGCGAAGCTGCGTGAATGGCCAGCTGCCGCGGCTCGGTGGATGAAGGATCCCTTGTCAAGTTGGTGTGAAGTTGTGTGTTGAAATGCAGTAAATGGGTGCTGCATGTGGGTCTGGGGACATGAACAATACGGGCAATAAAACATTTTCTAACAGTGTTGCCGTGAATGTGAACTCACACACTAAGAGGAGTTACCTTCAGACGCACTGGATGCTCGTTTTCATCCTTTTCCACAAATATTGCTGGTGGGGAGATGCCTCTCAGATGATCACGTGTAGAAAGCGAGATGGGCACAGATGCATACAGGGATTTGAGCACTGCAAAAGTCCCTCACCTGCTCTTGGAGGTGCTCGTTACTTTGCAGGAATGACAACCCTTTCTGTATTCCAGCTCAGTGGCCAGGATATATATTTAGGTTGAAGATGTCCCTGAGCACCTGTGAGATCAGGGACACTTCTCCTACCCCCCCTAGGAAGGCATCTGGGTCTCAGCGGGGCTGGACCACGGCACTGCCAGAGCCCCGAGGCTGGCTGGACAGCAGGGATGAGGGGTGCTGTCTCTGCTGCCCACAGATGTGGTTGTCCCTCCAAGCCTAGGCATTCGGTCGAGTCAGTCAAACAGAAATAATCCCAGGGGATTTAGGTGATGATAACCAATGTAAATAGCAAGGACCTTTTGCTTGTTTAAGGCTTTGATGGCAGAATACTTGCACTGATAATTTGCAATCTGAAATTTGCTGGTGTAAAGTATCTGTGCAGCTACCAACTACAAATCAGGAAGAAATAAATAATAAATAGCTGGATGTTCACAGTTACTTTGGGAACAGAGATAAGGATACATTTAAGTAAATCAATTCACTCATCTCCAAGTCTGTCTGAAAATATTCTCCAAGTGTCTCTCAGCGCTGCAAAAATTACCTCCTGTTCTCATTTACAAGCAAATGTTAAGAACTGAGAGATACATATTCCTCCCATCTTTAATTTTTTTTTTTTTTGGGGGGGGGGGGGGGAAAGATGGTGTTGTCATCAGCTGTTTCAGCATTCACAATTTCCCATTTATTAACCTACTCGGGTCTCCTTTTTATTTTATTTTTTTTTTTTACGCACAGGCTCTCCGCAGTCTGGCAGAGCCAGTATTGCAGTATTGATTTAGGAAGAGGCGGTTGTGACAATCCAGTCCCAGGCTGAAGCCCACCCTGTACAGGGGCTGCTCTGTCCGGAGCAGCAGCCTCACCCCCAGTGTTGAGCTCACGTTTAAAAAGAAGCAAAAAAAAAAGAAAGAAAAGCTACTTTTATCTGTTCTGCTTTGAAGGGAAAAAGGATTACCAAGGCTAAATAAGCCATCTGAGTACTTAGCTAGCAAGCCTAAATAGCACCCTGATACGAAGTTCTGGCAGAGAGCTAATTAAATTAACCCTCTTTGATTTATTAACAGGCAGAGCAACATATCACACAGGATTGTCCCATGAAATGAATGTGCTTTCTGATTCCCTTGGCTGCTTCGGTGCAGACATGTCCTGGAAAACCCGGTTATGGGGACTCAAGTTTAATGAGGCTCAATGGCTCGAAAAGGATCGCTGCCCACCGACAGAGATACGGACTAGCAATAATACGCAAAAGCATGTTGTTTTCCTTGAACTTCCCTAATTCCCTTTTAATGCCTAGGACTATCTAATGCCTAATTCGTAATTTCCTGCCCACCAATAGTCAGATGAATGACAAGCAAAAGCCTTCTGCATGTCTAATTATTCTGTTGCTTTAGAAGCCACTTTTCCCTCAGTGCAAGTTTCTCTCTGTGTGTGCACTCATGCATCATGTATTTCATTATTTTTAGAAGCATGCTCTGTGCCTTTTTATGCTGTCATAGTTCCAGCATCCAGTAATTACTATGTTTTGTGTCCAACGGACCTGATCCACTGGCAAGTGTAAATCAAGAAAACATCACTGACTTTAAATGGAGTTATTCCAAGTTACACCAGACCTGAGACCTGACCTCACCTATTTTCAGTGGTGGGGGGGAAATGTTACTTGTGTGCTGAGACCCTTGTGAAGTAGCAGAATATAAAATTTAGAAAACTTCAACGTGGTGAATATCCAAATCGAAGCCTGCAAATGCACAGACGTGAATCTATTTATATAGCAAGCTCTACTTCTGCTTAACCCCTGCAAGGAACTGTAACTCTCTTTGCATATTTGATTTTTTTCCCTCAGTAAAACACAGTCTACTTAATCTATTTTTGCTACTTTCTAACAGTTTCGCTGGTGGGCTTTTTCGCTATGCCTTACATTTAGCTTTGGCATCCGAGCGCTCTTTCGTTAAATTAAGGCAATTAATAAATGGAGACGTTAAGCAATCAATTTTGCCTGCGTATCTCCACAGCCTTACATATGACTGGCTGTAATCACAAGATAAATGCAATGTGCTGATGTATGGTAATGTTCAATAATACATTCTCCACCAGGCTCAATTCATCAGGGAGTTTCTGGAGGGGAGGCATTCGTTATTGGCTGTCTCTGGACCTCAAGGATAACATTTCTGTCCTTTCCATTGGCCGCCCCGCTGCTGCAAGCCTCTTCCCGTCTTATTTTGATGATGAATATGAAGGGATGCTAAGCCGTGCAGGAGCGTAGCTCTCGCCGACTCCACTCCCTCCCTGGGCTCAAGGACTCAGGGGCTCCCTCGCTGCTCCCCCTGCCCACCGCCAGCAGCAGCAGCAGCAGCAGCAGCAGCAACGCCAAAAGTTGTGATGCTTTTCTTCACCCAGTGCTTTGGGGCTGTGTTAGATCTTATTCACCTGCGGTTTCAGCACTACAAGGCAAAGCGGGTTTTCTCAGCTGCCGGCCAACTTGTCTGCGTCGTCAACCCAACACACAGCCTAAAGGTGAGTTAAAA